GACGGGCGACCAGTCTTCACTAGCTAATGATAGCCCAGGGTCGATCTCGCCCTAGCCCTCGTCGGAAATCGCTCTTCCTTCATCGTGCAGACAGACGCGGCTCATCAAGACTCCGTCCTGCATCCACAACGGGTCGACGTCATCTCATTTTGTTTCATCTCATCGTCTAGGGCGGCCTGGCGCGGGTAGGCGACCACGGACGGCGTCGCGCCGCGCTCGCGCAGCGAGTCGAGCGCGAGGTAGAGCGGCACCGGAAGGACGAAGAAGTCCGAGTCCTTGCCAAGTACGCCCGCGCAGCGCCGGCCGACGCAGTGCGCGGCGATGGCGCGGTCCGCCTCGCCCGCCGTGTAGACGACGCGGCAGCCGTGTGCTCGGAAGGCGGCGCCGATCCACTTGGATACGTAGAGCGGAGGGACCCAGCACGACGAGCTCGCGCGCACCGCCTCGCCGCGCGACACCGCGGCGGCAACCTTTTCGCACGTCGCTAGGTCGCGCGAGCGACGCGAGAGCCACTCGCTCAGCTTCGCCTCGTCGACGCCGCCGTCGAAAAAGACGATGAGGCGGAGGCCTGCGGCGGACCACGCGCGCACAAACTCGCCGACCGACAGGTACAGCGCCTGGAACTGGCCGCCGCCCACCCAGTCGAAGTCCATCGGGTACAGCCGGCGGATGAGCGCCATGCCGTCCACGACGACGACGTCCGAGCCGGTGCGACGCGGAAGCTCCGAGAGTGGCAGCCGGTACGCGTCGGCGCTCAGCTTCCGCTCGAGGTACGAATGCAGGCCTTTGACGCCCATGCGAGAGCGCGGCGACACCACAGACAGCGAATTCCACTCCGCGCTTACCGCAAGCTGCGCGAAAAAAGAATTTTACGAAAAAAGAATCTTAGCTTATCACATTGTGCGAAAAAAGAATTTTGGCCTTGCGTCGCACAACACTGAATCTGCGTCGCACAACACTGGGCACGGGACTGGCGCGCACTGGCACTAACACAGGTACACCACGGGAGCCGCCTAAGCGACTCCTGCGAGAGTGGCGGCACTTAGCTCCGTGCACCCGCCCACCCCCGCCACAGGCGAGCTCATTCACAACCTGCTCTGCGATTGCCGTGTGAAGAACGACTGAGATACGCTGCTTCTGCAGCCCCAGCCAATTCTTAGTGGTCCAAGTCACCTCATCGAGGTACTGGGCCCGCGTCAGCTTGTTCTGTAGCACGTCCGCCGCCTTCCGGAGGATCTCACGGACCCCCTTTCCGAACCCGCCGAACGATTCGAACAGCAGCAGCTGCACTTCAACGCCCTTGTCTTCCCTGGCATAGCGATAGTCCCCGCCGTAGGACGGTATGCGGCGGTCGCCCTCCACACCAGATGCTCCCTCAGTGCACAGAGGTATGTTGACATACGCGGCTACACGTGTGGGCGCCTATCTAGGGTAACATACGCGCCCCACGCGTGGGCGGCGTGTATGTCACGCGGTACGCGGCTGCGAGTGCAGCCGCCTATGTTAGCCAAGATAGGCGGCTGCACGTGTGGGCGCGAGTACCGCTATACGCGTCTGCACGTGTGGCCGCGTATCTTGGCTAAGATACGCGCCGGCACAGAATGACACGTATCAGGCCCCGCCGAGCTCGATGCGCGCAGCGCGGCAGCGCGTGAGGGCGGCTATTCTCCCCCCGAGGCAGGCGAGGATACGCAGTCCCTCGTGTCGCGCGTGTAAGTCCCGGTTGCCGTGCGCGCCAGCGCGTGTGGCCGCGTACCTTACCTTACTAAGATACGCGCGCACGGGCGTGGGTGGGTAAAAACGGTCACTTTGCGGGGTTCGCCCAAGGCCCCCTGTGGGCCGTGCGGAAGCCGAGAGCGCTCGCTCGGGACGGAAGCCGAGACCGCAAAGTCGGCGCCCCAGTGAGGTCCGCCGTCATAGGTGTAGCACGCTACTAGACACACTGCCTCCAAGTTGAGCGGTGGAAAATTGTGACGAAGCCACGCACCGAGGCGCCGGCGTCCCTCTGGCAATCTGCCACCGACAGCAACACGCCTTTGATCACCGGCTGCTTGCGCTCCGCATACTCTCCAGAAGCTGTTGGTTGTGTGGCTGGTGATACTTCTATCAGCCTTCCTCATGCACAATGTTGCCGTTGAGCTACGAGGCTGCAACCCGTCGTCATTTGAGTTTGCTGCCAGCCACACACAGCGCGTTCCTGCTGCACGAATGGTTGGACAGGTGTGAACAACACCTCGTGGGGGCGGCACCGCAGGCGTCCATTGAGGGGTCCAGGTGATAGCCCTGGGCGGACAATCCATACGCCTAGTTGGACTTCAGATCGCCCGATCGCGTCCCGGTGAACTGACGTCGGATTTGTGACGCCGCCGCACCGCGCCGCGGCCGGGGGCCCTCTGGAGGCTGAGGATGGCCGTGGCGGACCGAGACGAGCTCTGGGAGGTAAAGTGTTAGTGTATATATTGTAGAGGCTGACCACGTGCACAATATCTCTCACTCTAGCTAAGCCAGGGGAGGCTATTCTGGGCGTCCACACGGCTTGCACCGGTGACCCTCGCGACAAAGCGAGCGCGTCCGGCAGAGCGACTGAAGAATCGAGGACAGAGTCACAAATTCCCGCTTGTTGTGCATGTTTTGAGGTCGGACAGTGCTGCTGTCTTCTCCACGCAGCAGCCGACGCCACCAGGCCTCGGCAGCTGAGCAGCAGGAGCCTCCTCGCTGCTGGCAGAGTTGCGCCTCTGTTTGCCGCCGCTAAGAGATCGCTGTTGCGGGAATCCAGGGAATCTAAAGGAATCTAGAATCTGTGGGTCCGAGATTCGATCTGGGACCTGAGCCGCTCGGGACCAGCTGCACATGACCCGGGGCCACTGCCATGTCGCAGAGACGACTGCTGGATCGGCCGTCGCTCCGACCAGCCGTCCTGCAAAGGAATAAAATAAGACGGCGTTCCTACGTGACAGGAACGCCGTTTAGGGGTTAAATCTTATGTGCAACGCACTCACACTGACACACCGCACACACACGCACGCACTGCGGATTTCAAGTCGGTGCT